GGATTAGGGATAATTAGGTTTATAAATATAGGGGTATTGTACACTTTTTAATCAATCAATCATATATCAATACAAAGCAAGATTATTCCAATATAATTCTTATTTTCAATACTTATTACAAGAATTTCTAAACGCTTCCGCACCAGGATATTTTTCCAAATTTGACGTAAATCTCATGTCATGTTTTGAATAAGGATCGTTTCTGATGTAGGAAACTCCTATATTTATACCTGAGTGACTTAAAAGGGGTGCGAAGATAGTTATTTCTCGTTTTTAATGGTTCACATCACACAATCAACTGAGTGAGGATGTAATGGTAGAGGCACGACCAGCTTAAGTACCCTGATGGACAAAGAAACTACCCATGCATTACGGATCTCATGAGACAAAAGATACATACCTGAATTGTACTGTGTGCAAGAAATCTTTGTATACTTCCTCTGAAGTTGACATCAATCCTGTCCCAGCTCAATCTCGTTAAACTTCTCATCATTTCCTCTACAAGTGCAAACAAAATTGAATGTCAACAATCTAGAGCTCCAAAAATAGCATAACTATGAAGAACAGTTGGATGTTAATAATCTGAGCAGTTCGAATCATAAAGATGGATAGTGAATCTTAAAATGTATACATAGCAATACAGACATCTTCAATTATAGTTAGTGTACATTCAAGGAAACATGAAAAACAAGACAACAGCAAAATGTATAAGCAAAACCAACTTGTTTTATTGGTAATACATATAAATATTAAACAATTAACAGTCTTCACATGTTTTCTGTCATCAGTGCATGCATTAGTGTTAGATTTCACGATCATTGAAAAGCTAAATGCCAAAACCTTCCCCATTACAGGTAGAAATATCACACAATGCATTATCATTATAATTTTAATGACTGCAGATACAAATAGATTTGTGAATATGACTTCAATAGAAGCAAAGATGTAATATTTATCCATTTCATTAATATTTCCAAAGAAAAGAAATGACTGATTTAGTCTGAAATACCTTACTTCAAAAATATCCTTTTACAGAATATAAGTACATAGTTACCAGAAAAATGGTGAACCACCTTAAGATTCGCTACTGAAGAAGACTATTAATTTAGTGGATTAAAGAATTAACAAACCTTCCATTTCACTTATCTTGCCTCTAGCAATTTTGGCTTCCAAATGAACTTCTTGAGGTTTGTCAGTTTTTGAAATCACTTCATTGAAAATGTGTGGGTATTTAGGATGTTTTTGAAGATTTCGTCTCTGAAAAAAAAAATATATATATATAAGATCATCGGTACATATAAGTTCAACTATATAATCGCTAAATTTTACCTTTGGGAGCTCATTCCTTCTACGCAGTGACGATGAACTCCACCCAACAAGATCTACATAACGTGTCAAGATCTTCATATCATAGAAAAAGATACAGCAAGAATCAACTATTCCTAGTATTTCAGATAGTCATACTTCTGCCTATACACCCTAATGCTTTATTCCACAGCTCATTAATCTTTCCCATGACCTAAATCTGAATTTGACTACATTATACTCATTAAATTCAGCCAAAACAAATGAAGAGACGGTAAAATAGAATTAGGATACGGTCAAAACGTGCATTCGCATAGGCCACACGATGTTTAAATGAGTGCAAAGCGGATCTGCAAAAGAATCCAAAATGCAAAATATTTCATCAATTAAATTTGCACTAGTTAAAAGATCAAAGATGTAATGAATTCATGAGAACGTACATAAATTTAAGATCTTCGGTGTCATTGACCATTTGAAGCAGAAGAGGCGGTTTTCCATCATCACTATCAGTCAAGAATAGGTGTTTCCCAGTTCTTCCAAGTAACCATGATGCACGTGATGCTACTTTCTCCATGCTGTAAAGCCCACAGAACACTGGTACCTGCAAGACTATCAACTTGTAAAATCAAAAGAACCTTGAATGCAAGACTACGTTGGTCCTATTGGGATAATTGAGCAGTTGATGGTTGCATTTGCCATAACATTTTCCGTCAAAAGTAACCCAAAATGAAGTTAAAAAAATTCTATTTTTAAGTGAAAAAAGTCCAACATGGGATACAGCAGTGCAAGGAAAACAGAAAAATGGAGAGAAGATCATCAAGTCCCACGATGACAAAAACCAAAACTGGAAAAGTAGCATATCCCAGTCAGACCTTTTAGAGAAGTAGCACGCCAGTGGCCTGTGTCTATCCGTAATATAATAAAAGAAGAGAAAAAATGATGTATGCATCTCAATATTAGACCTTATACACAATATTAAGAGACTCTGTGAAGAACAGTGAGTAAACTCTATACTTATGTCTGTATCCCGCCAACTTCCTCGAACAGCTAATCACAAAGACCATAATCAGACATTTTAAAGATCAGAAGCCATAAATAATCATACATATGCATTGTCATAGGCACTAAAGACAATTTGTTTTCAAGATCTCAGCAAGCATCATCAATAGAGAAAGAGATCGGCATGTGATGAATTCAATAACCTGTTTATGTCCCCTTGATCCAAGGTGCGGAGTTGCAAAGGTAATGAAGTTCACAGGTTCAAGTCCAGCAATTCTGTCTTTTGATTTCTCTTCTGCAAATGATCTGTTAGACTCCCCTTCATATTCACCATTTTCTTCGCCAGGTTTTCTAGATAAATCTTGTTGATAAAGACTAGCAATTGCATATCTTGCGATTAGGCCACCAAGTGAGTGGCCTACAAAAGAAATCTTTTGAAGATTTGGATGGTGAGCTACAACAGATATCACCTGAAGTATCAAAAAGGGAAAACCCTTAATCTTCAGCTTACAGAAGCATTTGATTCAAATAGCAGTCAAAATTGAATGACTGCTATTAATTCCAAGCACAAGACATGAATTAGGAGTACAGTTCGTCCAACAGAATGCAGGGAGGTAAGAGAAAAACCGGTTATTATTTTTGGAAAAGGCTTTACAAACCTCATCTGCTAATCTTGTTCCCATTACATCAACACCATCAAATGTCAACATTGAAGCATTAGATTCGCTGCCTGGACATAGCAAATTGATTAAAAATATTTCACGCTAACATTTGCAGACATTGACTTCAGCTAGTATAAATGTAGAAAGAACTTATAAGCTTCAACTACTGCAATGAATATTTGAAGAGAAAGTGTAATACATATGTTGCAGAAAGGTATTACAATTACAATTCTATAAAAGACAGGACCTTCTGACAATAAATTCATTTATGTATTTGCATATGGGATTGAAACTAGCAAGTTAAATCAAATTTGTGTTCTGATTTAATTATAGTGTTCATTGTGTCTGTTGCTTGCAATGATTTAGATAATAAAATTAGAATTGCCACGAAGGTCATCAGTTTTTACGTGTAATAATTTTGTAGAGAACAGAAATGAAGAGAATTTCAGACTCGGTTTTTGAAAAGTTTTCATACAACGATAAGTAGATCAAGAAGTACAGAAACATTTTAGGAAAACAGAGAAGCTTTATGCAGGAAGATATCTCAGAAACTTGTTTTGGATGTGAACATAAGGTGAATTAGTCTTCTTTTTAGTTTCTTTTCGAAATCTATTCACAAATATTTACAAGAAACCATTTACAGTTTTCTTTCACATTAATAAAACACTTGCTGCAATTGTGATCATGATCATATATTCTTATTGAATGAACATTTTCGAAGAAGCTTACGAATACAAATTGTATCAAAAAATTCCTATGTTTCTCTGAATATATAAAGACTTCGGTTGCGACATTTAGACATTTCATTAATGCCAATGGGTCGTTTCTATAGCAATAGAATCTGATCTGGATTCCACATCAACAATCTAGCTGATGCCCAGTTTAAGCCAGCTATGCCATCCAGCATAGGTCCAGGCAACCTCGGACCTCAAAAGGATCATCCTACTGACCTAAAAATGATTAACCGAGCCTGACGCATGGGACCAATAGATATAAGAGCCCCAAGCCTTGGACGTCCTGACAACTAGCCCCAAATGGCAGAGAATGGCATGACCAAGAATTTTATCAAAGACAGAGTCTTGCTCACATATAAACTTTGACTCTTGCATGATCGTGATTGATTACAACTCCAACTGGTGTTAAGGCTATGGGATAATGATCAACATGTATACAACTCAGCTATGCAGTCCACATAGGAATCAATTATAGGCACTCCATCAGGTATATATACTACAATTTTCCATCAATTATAAATACTACAATCACCAATCAATTAGAAATACAACAATCACCAAACGTTTCGTGTAATGCAATAGAACCCTATTCAATTATATTCTTTATTATCAAATGGGATATTATCCTGCCCCCTTTCTGGTACTTGACAATAAATTTGACAGTTGATGGAATTTGGTCCTAGCATCTTTATGGACCAGATTTTGGAATCTTCACTCCCATACAAAATTCATTCTCCTAGCAAGTATCTATAGCTCTTTCCAACCTAGCAAGAGCCTTCCCTTGCTTTCATTCGTATCCTTTTTTCCCCATCTCTACATTAAATGATATCCAAGAATTAAAATCTCTTAGAGATATCATTATGGATAAACTGAGTTATGCTACCCCATCACATTAGAGGTGGAAAATTTCATACGCACCATGCGAGCTACATTATGTCGAAGGACCCCATCATTTTTCATCAAGGGCTCTGCAACCAGGTGTTTGTGCAGGCTGCAGCAAGATGCATGTTAACTTTTACCGTATGATATGGAGCCTATCAAACTACTTGTCATACAATGAAAGTTAAACTCAGTGTTGTGAGATTGTTTCAAGCCATTCATCTTAGTCGCTTAAAATAAACAATGGGATTTATTTAGTTTTATGCTTATGTTACTGCAATAAGTAATTCTTCAAATGAATGTTTACATCACTTTCTTCCGTCATTTACCCAATGTGGCATACCAAGCCGCATGATTTTCCTCCGTCCCTGCAGTTTCAGTGAACCTATCACTGCCTCGGTTGTGCAACTGGAAGAAGCTTTGAGAAAGTAGGAATATAAAGGTGAACTCATAGTAGGCCCCTTTTACTCTTGTTAAACTGAAAATTATGCTCAATCAGTGAAGTTGTTCCAATGCTAACCATTTTCAATTCCTTAGGGTAGTATCCATATTCAGTTATTTAAGTTATAGAACAAACATACTGTCACAAACTACTTGACCATGACTCAGCCTTAAATTCATATTGCTCTATGTATATTGGTCATTGGATAAAAACTTCAGTGCATAGAATGATAGTTTGATTCAATATGTAGTTAGCAACGATAACTAGTGGAAAATGGCTGGCTTTATAAATAATAGCAACAAAACATCGAAGCATGTAGGTAAGGTAATTAACCATGATTTAAAATGTTAACTTATTTAACCTGTTATTTCAATAATACTTTCCTGGCCGAAAAAGAAGTATGATTTGGATCTT